TCCTCTCTTTAGAGAGGGATCATCTAGGCGCTTTCATCAATCCAGGCAAGTCACGTCTTGTCTGGTGGTGCATGTTGTGGGGTGTGGAACAAAACAAAGCCCGAGGGAGATAGTGGATGTGGATGCACTAACCAGATGGGCAACCGCTACAAGTTCATATGTACACACTAAACACAAAATTGGGGCGGGTGTTTCAAATGTGGTCATAATAAACGTGGTGAATTTAATCTCAACATAACGGATGATACACTTAATGATCCGATTTTGTTTTTGCTTGATATGTCCCCCAAAGCTGGCTAAACTCCTGGTAACTAGGTCACCTTTCCCATGCCTGTCGATGCGTGGTCGATGCTACATCTGATATTGTCCACTATTTATGACAGTCTCCTTTTCGCGCGTTTCCAGCGACATTCCAGTCGTGGCCTATTCTAACTGTAACCTTATGATCATACTTAACCCACTATTTGGGTTATTTTTATTATTACCTATGATTTCTTCGCCCACGGTAGATTTCGAGTAAGTTTAAACAACGTCCAGCATAATTGCGGTTGCATGCGGAGATTTGAGGGGTTTGAATAAATACCATCACATATTATATATGATTGTATCATTGTATTATCGTATATATATCACATCAAAAGTTCCTTTTTCAAACCGTGGTTTTAGACGGTTCCATTATCCACACAGTCTTCTTAGGTGAAAAGCGGTCGCAGGCAGAATAAAAAATTTTGAGGCAAAATATTTCGTTTCGTTGCGTTTGTGCTCACACCAAAAATTATTCTATTTTAGGTTCTTCTTTCTAAAGGTCATCAAATTTCATTGCCTCTGAAGTAATCATATCCCTAACGGAAAAATTCTGGCGGAGAACTTTCCCAGCATTGCTGGGACTTCCGGATGCCTAGATGGGGCTCAAATGTCCGGACACGTACTCCGAACTCGATTGCCAGTCTCTTTCAGTCCATCAGGGGCACGCCGTAGCTCTCGGAATTTGCATCTCGTTGTGCGAATACCGAGCGCCGTTTTAGACGCCAGCGCTCGAATCACAATGCATTTTTCTGCAAAAGCCCTGCGGATGAAATAAAAAGTTTAACGTCAAAATGTCGCGCTTCTTTGCACATATGCTCAGTCAAAAAATCCCCTCATCTGCCGTCAGTTTTTGCGATTTGTTTTAATCGATCTCTTTTGAAAATTTTTGGCGCTCATTCGGCTTTGAACTTCGTGTGCTATTGCTTCGGATTTGGCTTTCGTTGTATTTGTGCGTTCACCCAGTAATCGAAGCACCAACGCTATTTTGCGTTACGAATGGGTGTACTACAAATGCAGCAGGCGACCTCCAAGACAAACGGAATCCGAAGAAGCTAGTAAGCCGAGCGTATTTTCTAATAAAAAAGTACGCCAAGCACCGGCTGTCCAGTGCGGTTTTTTCAACGGAGTCAAAAGAACCAACTGGCAGTCGCCTCGTATTTTCTTGAACGCAACCACAAATTGTCAAAGTTTCTGTACGATCGGCTTCCAGTTAATCGATGCCTAACAGAAGACGAGTTGGGCACATGCAGGCCCCTTCTGGAATATGGAACGCCATCATGTGAAATGCGGCAGTTTGTGGCGGAAGAATTCGGAAAGATTCTTACCACTAAGGATATACACAACCACCGCCGGAAGTGTCGACCGTCTATGTTGAGTAGGTGCCGCGTAGTTGGGTTTTAATGTGGCGGATGATATGCCTTCGGTCCTGGCAAAGCTTCGGGAGACCGGACGCGTCCTTGTGTGTCAGTCAGAGGAAGGTCACCATAGCCATATATGTCTCTCCCGATGGCAGCAGATAGCGTTATTCCGATGCTTTCCAGATGTAGTGAATGTAGACAAACGCCTTGAGTAAGTCTTTTGAAACCCCTAATATTCGGCATGTAGATACAAGCTTTACGCCTTCTCGATAACGGACGGCAAGGGAACCGGTCGACCGGTTATGTATGCATTCGTAGAGAGCGAGCAATTTGCTCCCATGCGTAAACTGTTCGGCTTATTCAAAGAAATGATGGGTGGAAGTTATCCGGTAAAGACCTTTGAAATGGACAAGTTGGTGGCGCAAGTGCGTGCAGCAAGTGTCGTATTTTGCTGTGACGTTATGCTTTGCGACTTTCATGTCCGCAAAGCAATCAGAAAGCACGTATCTATCCTTTAAAATCCATGTATTTTTGGTCATAGACACATTCTGCGAATAGCCGGCACACATTTCACCGCATGGCTTGCCTGGACAACGCTGTACAGTAGATTTTTTTTCAGCGTATTACAAGCATACAGATTCCGGCAAGACCTGCAGCCTCTGCGCCGCACCGATCTTCGATGTGTCTCCTAACTTACGGCTCGCTGGTTATGCATCACCCGAAAATGGACCATACACGCACAGTCCGGAATGGTTTGCTTCGGTAATATGACCGAAAAAAAGTTTGGAGAATGCGAACGGCCGCCTTAAAGACCGGGTACACCAATGCGAAAGGTTGGAGCATGTAATTCAAAATGTGTCCCGGCACGCCGAGTGGCTCATGCGAGAGTTCGAGATGCCTACGTCGTACCACTGCGACAGGCAGCGAATCCTAGAAGTCACGTCTACGTTCTAAACGTGGTGAGTCGAATGACGCTTGAGGCACTTGGGTCCGCGACTGCCGCGGTTGCCGTATGGAGGTGTTAGAACAAACAAGGTACAGTCGAGCTACTTAAACTAACTTATAGTTTGTGGTGCAAACACTCAGATGCTCCCAGAAAGTCGACACCTGTGCTGGAGAATGCACATGCCCTTATTAGTGCACAGGTGACGATAGTCATAATACAAATCAGAAGGTGAATGTGCACTAATAGAAGTTTTTGTATGGTTGCGACACGTATGAAAATGAATACAATGCGAAATGGGAGCAAGTCAAAAAGGAACTTATCGTATGTGAGAGTTCCTTGGTAAAAGTTCGGACGGCGGTAACGTGTTTTCTCCACAGTTTGGCTGCTACACGTGTTCCATGATTGTCCGTGGACTTGTGGAGAGGTTGACGTCCTGCTCCCTGCGCGCGCGTGAGTCTGTGTCTTGACTGCGTTCGGTTTGCGTTTATGTAGGTCCCAGTGCGTGTATGTGTGTGCGTCGGCATATGAGTGGTTGCTACGCTGACTAGGCCGTGCGGACAATCGGTGTCCGATGAGTCAGCTTAATGCGACGTGTTTGTGCGTATGAGAAAAAAGACAAGCCTCGCGATCCAGTGGGCGACAGTGAGTTGAACAGTCGAGTATGCGGGTGACTGGGTCGCTACAACTACTCCCCCTCCAGCGAAAGAAAAATATTTGCGGGAGAGCTCCAACAGTATCGAGTGCGCATGGTCGAGTCGGTAGTCCGAAGTGGGAAAGGTACCAATGTGTGAGGGAGTATGGCGAAGTATCTTTGAACGTTGACATTATGGACAATGTCTTGTCCATGAACGCATGTCTTTGTCCATATTCGCCATAAGAAATTTGGATAAAGAGTTTCAGAGATGAGTGTCCGTCGGGTTTGAAATGTAATGTAGACCATGAAAAAAAATTGCCAGCGCATTGCTGATGAAGCGAGTGGGTGCATGAAGCAGTTCCAGAACGATGGAAGATGGACAGACACGGAATTGATATTTGGCTGAGGTAATAGGGGAGTTGATGACTGAGCCGTAGATGTGTCAGACATGAATTGAAATATGAATATATGGGAGTCCAAATGAATAATTGTCAGGAGTTACGTGGGTTCACAAACGTCA